CTCCAAGAAAATGGCTGGTTTGTCTTCATAATATTTATACGATGCTTATGACTGCCGTCCATATTTCCCGCCTCTGAGCCTTTTCCCGCGTAAAATTGGGTCAGCAATGATGCTCAATTGGATAATTATGTCATTTATGATAAGCGAAATCTCCATAAGGGGTGAAACTTTGGCTTGGTTGGGTTGATACCTTTTAGGGAATATAATCGTTCATCAACGACTTAATTTGTCCAACAATTCCAACATTTGACATCTTTTACTCTGTAATACAGTAGCTCTTACACATTTCAAGGGGCCAGGATGTGTTCTTTAATTTATATTAAGTTTTGCACAGATTTTTACATGATAGAAGAAATTATGTGTGCACTAAAACTGGTCTGAAAAAAGATTATGCATAGGTTTTATGTCAAGCCTGTGCATTAATAATCAAGTTATAAGAAAATAGTCGAAGGGTAGGGTGACTCCTGATGTAATTTGAATAAATTCATTTGATCCTGATGGATCAATGGAGGTAAGCATGTTTTAGCTATGTTTTTGAACTAGGAATTATTTTGAATGAATAATAAAACTATTATTGAATTTGGCTTTCATATCATATGAAGAATCATGGAGATCTAGGAGGGAGTTATCTGCCTCGGCCTACGGTCTTGACGGATAACACCCTCCTTGATCTCCATAATTCATCATAAGATACTCAGCCTCATTCATTAACTGTTAAATGTTAATTATTAACACTTGAGAATTAAATCATGCCCTTTTTTAAAAAAAAGAATTTCAAAATACAATAAGTTCATTTTGGAATTTCCTTTAGGTGTGCAATATGCAGTATAAAAACAGCTTTGTTTTGCTTTAAATGTGCTCATCATTTACAATGTCCATAGGCAATCATTATTGTGGTTCCATTTAAAAGGCTCTTCGCATGTCTTGATCACGTGATCAACTTTCAGTATTCACGAAAGCATAGCAAAAGCTGAAAGAGCATATTAAGATTAGGCAACCTGAAAATTTCAGCGCTATCCCTCAAAAGAAGCAATAATTCATGCAATGGC